ATTATTGTTATATTGTTGCCGACGTAGCCATTTTACTTTTTCAATGTGCGCCCCTTTCGTATTTTCAACGATCGCGACCTCGTAAAAACATTATTAAAAAGTATACTTTTACCCATTCAAATTAGAATACCTTTATCAAAGTTTGAAAATAAAATTGTTAGGTAGGTACGTGAAAAATTTCCGTGAAAATTCTAATTTTCACGAGTCAACAAAGTAGATGTCACTTTGCGACGTTCTAACTTGTACATTTGAATTTCAATTAAAAAATTAAACGATACGTGTTTCCATCAAAAGAAAAAAAAATGGTAACAGCCATTACATTAAAGTAAAAAGTTTGGTTTATCACAACTTTTCAACCTATTAATAAATTAGATAAAAATATAAAATTAGCATAAGCATGTTTCATTAATTTAGATTTAGTATGCAAATCAAACGTACCTACATCATAGAATTTTAATTATTTTCATTTACAAATCACAACAATCTGCAAAGTATTATCTAGGTGTACTAAAAGATTAACACATCCCTACGAATTTCGTAGTACAAACGATTTTTATTCCATTACAGCTCGCTTATTTTACGTAAAATAAAAAAAAAAACGGTTTTATTAGGCAGATACGTTCAAACGATTTTTTTTTATTTTAGCTGCGCTCCACTCCATTTATTTGGGAAAAACTGATGCTGGACTTTTTAATGTTCAAAATTAATCTTTTAGATGCACTAGTAAATACGTAGGTTTGCTATCCGCTTAAAGGCAGTATAATTGGAAATTATTGAACAATATACAAAAATTACTACGAAGAAAACAACAACGAAGGGATAGAAAAAATTAGTTTTAAATTAGTTTTATGTGGTCATCGATGATCTTTGACACGTATTTAGGGCATCAAGGAGCACGAAGCTGCGAGTACCTAAAATCTATCATGAAATATTGTACTTATACACATTGTTAGGGGTGCAAACAAAATCTTAAAAATATTCTTCTGCATGCGATTACATAAATAAATTGGTAAAATTTAATATTACAAGGATTTTTACCAAATAGTCAGTATAAAAGAAAAGACTGATTGGAGCATACTGCATATAAATGTTTTTTCAATATTTTCGCTTTAAAATATTATGCCTTTATCATAAATTTTAAGTATAAATTAATAATGATTAGCTGGAATCATACGTCGTAATTTTCTTTGTCTGCAACATGCCTACCTTTTATACAGAAAATTTTCCATAAGCATGAAGCCTTTTCATTCGGTTTTTCCAGTAATTAACCATTTCATTATCACCACTTCAAGTTGAAACAAACGTAGTTACGCACTATACGGTCCTAACTGTAAAATTTCATTTTCGATAAGGGTACACTTGCAGAGTACAATAGCAACTGACACAATCATATAATCATCGCACTGAGTGGTACGGTTACATATTTACTACGTTGCCAATTCCAATAGCTTATTATTATTACATTGTCTATCGAGTAGATATTACGGAAAATAAAAAACACGTCTTCTACACATACATATGTATGTGTACGGAAATTAAAAATTAGAAAAAAATCGCCTAGATACTACAAAGGATGCTTCAGTTTTGAATTAAAAAGCCTCTTGATGGTATTTCCTTAAGATACAATTCTTTTAAAAATACAACGAAAAATTTTAGTTATTTTAGACTTGCCTCATCTAGTATAGGGTAGGAAACTAATCCCTAAAGACTAAATTTAATAATCTTGAAAAATAGCGTAGATACAGGACCACTTTGAAAATTCGAAGTCCTTGAATTTTTAAACGTATCTGGGGCTTCAACGACTAAAGCAGTTTGAGTAAAGGCTTTATTAAGTGTAGAGATTGATTGGATCATTTTGACGAAGACATTGTTTAGCTATATTGTTGATTAATAAAAGTTAAATACAACAAATTTTTCTTCATACATTTCTGTATATGCTATAGTTTCGGCTTTGTTAAAAAATGCAAAGAATTATAAGTAATATAAAAAAAGGTCGTAAGAAACTTCGTTTTTGTGTGAGGTAGTGGATTTTAAAGATTCACTGCAACGTAGAGCTGGGCAAGGCCTTTACTGAAGGAGCTGCAAGTCCTTAGCCCTAAATTCAAAGCCCTTACATAAAGCCTTTAGCTATTCCAGCCCCAATTATATTTTAAAATCTAAGGAAGTCTTATCAATAATTATTCCAAAAGCGAGGTTCAAATTCCTAAGTAGGTACTTTGAAAGAACTTCAAGTACTTTGCAAGACCCTTTTAATTATATATTACAAAGCAATTTTATATAGTAAATGATTTACCAAGCTCCAACAATTTGTTCATGAGAAGGTTTCAATTACAGAATTACTGTAATTCCAAGCTCTAAAAGGACTGAAAGTACATTTTATAACAAAACACTAAAGCTTTGCTGCAATGTTGATCTATTTTATTGAAATAACGATCCAACGTACCTACCAACTAAAATTGTAGTGGTTAGCATACCAGAAAGTTAATGTTTTGTATATTCGAAAACAACAGAACCATATTGTAGGTCCTAAGATAATCTATCTGTTCGTCCGTCATAACGCTACTGGGAAATGCGGAGGTAGCCAGTAGAAATTTTCAAAGATTGTGTATTGTATACAATGTCTCTGATCAGTATTCCAGAAAAATTAAGGGAGAAGAAGGTACATGAAAAAGAAATAGAATGAGCCATATCGCACCACTAACTGATAAACATGAACATGATGGTAATGACCTTTCCGAAAGCTCTAACTGCTCCGGTAATGAAGATGCGTATTAGCGTGATGCCGCCAGTGACGTGGAACCAAAGCTCAATCATCTCAATGCCGCACGAGCCAAGACCGAAAAAAGTGCGCCAAGTTAGACCGAATGCGAAAGTTTTGCTTACAGTTTTTTTTCGATTGCAGGAGCGTGGTGCATCATGGGTTCTTGCCATAAAGTACAATGGTCAACAAGGAATATTACCTGCAAGTTATGCGCAATTTGCGCGAAGTAATCCACCAGAAACGCCCGGATTTGTGGGAGAACAAAAGTGGCTTTTGCACCATGATCACATCGTTGCTTGTACGCGAAATTTTGGTCAAAAACAACATACTAATAATGCCGCAACCACCGTGTTCCCCAGTGACTCATTCTTGTCTTCGAAATTGAAGAGGTCCATGAAAGGACGACCCTACGCTATATTCAGGAGATAAAGACGCCATCGAAGGAGGAGCTAAACAAGATCACAAAATATGATTTTTTGAAGTGCTTCGAGGATTGGAAAAAACGTTTGCACAAGTGTATAATATCTGGTGGAGATTAGTTTGAAGGGAACAAAATAGGTATTCATGAATAAATAAATAATTTTTGAAAAAACAGAAANGAATTAAATTATATGAAATGAACAAAAAAAAAAAAATACGGAAGTTGATTTAAAGTTCGATCAAAATAAATCCACTTTTTTCATATATTTTCGTAAACAATCAATTTAAAAAAGTAAGGTAGTAGGAAGCCAATCCCCCGGAACATCCAGGAACCAGCAATCGCCTTATGTAAAACCTTGAGGGAAGAATCCGAATATGAAGCATAATAATTAATTATCGTCATCCAATCTGTAATGATCGTGGAATATCAGAAACTCCGACGCCAAAAAAATTAATTAATATGTATTTAAATATCTACTTACCAATGCCACGTCCGTAATCCTAAACTTTCCAACAATGTCGCATATAAAGAGAATCCCATTGATGTTTATACAAATATCTGAAACCAAAAGACACAAGTGAAATGAACAAGGAATATTAGAAATTTCGACACCAAAGGAATTAATTAATATGTATTTAACTATTTACTTACCAATGCCACGTCCGCAACTCTAAACTTTCCGACAGAGGCCCCCATGTAGAACTTCCTGTTGATGCTTTTACAAATATCTGAAACCAAAAGACACATGTGAAATGAACAAGGAATATTAAAAATTGCGACTCCGAAAGAATTAATTAATATGTATTTGAATATATATTTACCAATGCCACATCCGCAACTCTAAACTTTCCGACATAGGCTCCCATGTAGAACTTCTTGTTGATGTTTATACAAATATCTGAAACCAAAAGACATAAGTGAAATGAACAAGGACCTCATGCAAGAATGTGGCATATAATACGGACAAGAAAAAGGAAGGAAAAAAAGAGGAAAAGAAACGAAGAGCACGATATTGAAAAGAGAAAAAAGAAGAAGAATGAACTCAAATACACATACACATACGCACACACACGTAGACACACATCTAATGTAAATAAGAATAAGAATTTTGTTAATAAAGCTATTATATACCTATCTATCGATCTATCTACCTATAAAATTCCATTCAAAGTTTTATGCATCGAAAACTTTTTTAGGACTAAAACAAATTAAAATTTAATGTTTCACGATTTCATAAAAGCAGTCAAAAGTCATTTTACGACGTCCTAATTTACTTCCGATTTAAAATACGTTTGAATATCGACTGAACACTACGTTTTAATTTTCATTTCTTCCCTTTATTTTGAGAGAAAAACAGAATCAAAGACAGGACAGGGAGCAAAAAACAGTTTAACTACTTAGCCAATCAACACCGATGTTACCCCTTTTAGGCAGATTTTAAAGTTAATGATTCTTTTTCTACATTTAATGCCGGATGCAGAACTGAAGAAAGATTTGGACGTAATAGTAAAAAAGACTTGGACGTAATTAGGGTAGGAAATGAAAGTAGAATGTGTGAGTTTTCGATGAAAAGAGAACAAGGGATATGTATCGTAGAATGGGAAAGCGATGATAAAACTTGATGTATGTGTTGGAGGAATGAGATCAAAATAAGGATTTGGATGAATTCAAGGGAATAATAAAGGGATGTGGAGAGGGACTGATACTAATAAAAAAGGTTTTAAGAATTAGAAAAGAATGAAACAAGTAAGTGTGGTAAATTTGAATCAATTTATATATAGGATAAAAAAAGGAATGGGTGCAATAGCAAAGTAGGGAATGTAAATATTGGATTAAAGAGAAAGAGAAAATGAATTTTTGAAACAGGTGTTGGGAGCATGTATTGAAAACAAAGGAATGGGTGGATGAATATAGATGGATGGCGGATAGATACGATAAAGAACTTGAGAAATCTTTAAAAAAAAGTGAAGAAAGAAATTAAGGCGATTAAAAGATACCTATGGTGCATTAATTTAAAATTATATGTGGAAGAAGTTTTTATGTGGGGTACATAAAAGAGGGTAGTTGCAAGTTTAATTAATGTGCTTTTGCAGTTAAGTCAAAGAAAGAGAAAAAATGAGTATAGATATAACAATATCTATCCAATACAATTCCTGTATATTTTAGAGCGAAGTGGACCTTGTTACAATTCGACGATGATGAACTATTCTGAACATAAACCAAATGTTTCATTGTATGTCTTTCACAATTTTAGTTTCACTAGTTTCAGAAATGAAAGAACAAAAATAAGTATGATAGTATGATACCGAATCTTTACAAGCCAGTTAATCCTAATATTTTTTCTATAAGCAATGAATATGAATTCTGATATAAAGAAGCGTTCGAAATGTGGTGTTATAGGCGAATGATGAGGATACCGTGGATAGAGAAGGTTGGAAATGAAGAGGTATTGGAAAGAATAGGAGAAAGAGGACTCTATTGAAGTCAATAAGAAATAGGCGAGATAGGTTGGTAGGACACCTTCTCAGACATGAAGGTCTAGTCAGAGACCTATTTTAGATTACTATTGGTAAATAGTTAAGGATATGGGTTGTTCTAGTTTTAGGAAAATGCTAAGATTAATTCAAGATAAGGAGTGGAGGTGCGTGTCCAACCAGTCTTAGCAATGACGACCTTATGACGACGATAAAGAAAATTATTATGCCTAAGTGTTACGTTATTGATCAGCCATTTTGATTCATCCATTATTGAAGTACTTATTGTTATCGTTGGCGGCCATTATATTTTTTTAATTGTTGGTGGGTTGTTGTATATGTCATCTATTGTACCTGTTTAATTATTGTTATATTGTTGCCGACGTAGCCATTTTACTTTTTCAATGTGCGCCCCTTTCGTATTTTCAACGATCGCGACCTCGTAAAAACATTATTAAAAAGTATACTTTTACCCATTCAAATTAGAATACCTTTATCAAAGTTTGAAAATAAAATTGTTAGGTAGGTACGTGAAAAATTTCCGTGAAAATTCTAATTTTCACGAGTCAACAAAGTAGATGTCACTTTGCGACGTTCTAACTTGTACATTTGAATTTCAATTAAAAAATTAAACGATACGTGTTTCCATCAAAAGAAAAAAAAATGGTAACAGCCATTACATTAAAGTAAAAAGTTTGGTTTATCACAACTTTTCAACCTATTAATAAATTAGATAAAAATATAAAATTAGCATAAGCATGTTTCATTAATTTAGATTTAGTATGCAAATCAAACGTACCTACATCATAGAATTTTAATTATTTTCATTTACAAATCACAACAATCTGCAAAGTATTATCTAGGTGTACTAAAAGATTAACACATCCCTACGAATTTCGTAGTACAAACGATTTTTATTCCATTACAGCTCGCTTATTTTACGTAAAATAAAAAAAAAAACGGTTTTATTAGGCAGATACGTTCAAACGATTTTTTTTTATTTTAGCTGCGCTCCACTCCATTTATTTGGGAAAAACTGATGCTGGACTTTTTAATGTTCAAAATTAATCTTTTAGATGCACTAGTAAATACGTAGGTTTGCTATCCGCTTAAAGGCAGTATAATTGGAAATTATTGAACAATATACAAAAATTACTACGAAGAAAACAACAACGAAGGGATAGAAAAAATTAGTTTTAAATTAGTTTTATGTGGTCATCGATGATCTTTGACACGTATTTAGGGCATCAAGGAGCACGAAGCTGCGAGTACCTAAAATCTATCATGAAATATTGTACTTATACACATTGTTAGGGGTGCAAACAAAATCTTAAAAATATTCTTCTGCATGCGATTACATAAATAAATTGGTAAAATTTAATATTACAAGGATTTTTACCAAATAGTCAGTATAAAAGAAAAGACTGATTGGAGCATACTGCATATAAATGTTTTTTCAATATTTTCGCTTTAAAATATTATGCCTTTATCATAAATTTTAAGTATAAATTAATAATGATTAGCTGGAATCATACGTCGTAATTTTCTTTGTCTGCAACATGCCTACCTTTTATACAGAAAATTTTCCATAAGCATGAAGCCTTTTCATTCGGTTTTTCCAGTAATTAACCATTTCATTATCACCACTTCAAGTTGAAACAAACGTAGTTACGCACTATACGGTCCTAACTGTAAAATTTCATTTTCGATAAGGGTACACTTGCAGAGTACAATAGCAACTGACACAATCATATAATCATCGCACTGAGTGGTACGGTTACATATTTACTACGTTGCCAATTCCAATAGCTTATTATTATTACATTGTCTATCGAGTAGATATTACGGAAAATAAAAAACACGTCTTCTACACATACATATGTATGTGTACGGAAATTAAAAATTAGAAAAAAATCGCCTAGATACTACAAAGGATGCTTCAGTTTTGAATTAAAAAGCCTCTTGATGGTATTTCCTTAAGATACAATTCTTTTAAAAATACAACGAAAAATTTTAGTTATTTTAGACTTGCCTCATCTAGTATAGGGTAGGAAACTAATCCCTAAAGACTAAATTTAATAATCTTGAAAAATAGCGTAGATACAGGACCACTTTGAAAATTCGAAGTCCTTGAATTTTTAAACGTATCTGGGGCTTCAACGACTAAAGCAGTTTGAGTAAAGGCTTTATTAAGTGTAGAGATTGATTGGATCATTTTGACGAAGACATTGTTTAGCTATATTGTTGATTAATAAAAGTTAAATACAACAAATTTTTCTTCATACATTNATCGATGGAGGAGCTAAACAAGATCACAAAATATGATTTTTTGAAGTGCTTCGAGGATTGGAAAAAACGTTTGCACAAGTGTATAATATCTGGTGGAGATTAGTTTGAAGGGAACAAAATAGGTATTCATGAATAAATAAATAATTTTTGAAAAAACAGAAAATTCGTCGTACTTTTCAAACAGACCTCATGTTCACACTTAGCTTATTTTTGTATTTTGTGGTAATAGCCAGTAACTTTGAAGATTGAATAGTGCAGGTTACTAATAATCGTTACACGCGCAATTGGGCTGTGTGTGTACTAGCTGTTGCGAAGGTCACGAATAGGTATAAGTGTTTCGTCAAGTGACGCTTGCATTAACGGTAAAATAAAGTGGCTGTCAAACTGGCAGCTGTTCTAAGTCATTGATAGCTCGTTAATTGGGGTACTTTTTGTGATGATGCACTCTACATTGCCTTCAAATGTCACTTTTGAAATATTCCAGAATTGGCCACAGTGTTTGTCTATGTATAGAAGCGTATTTGGGACTGCAGTATCTAAATTTTTTGATTCGTACAACGTTTTGGCTGGTCCTATCTTCAAACTTAACAGGACAACATTCATTTTTTTGTATCAGTACAACGTAGTACATATCTACTTACAAGCTCTAGGCTTTCTTAATGAGAAATGCTTGTTTAATAGAATAGCTACAATTAGTTAGTTAACTAATGACGGCATTTTCGATAAAATTAATATTACATACATACCTACGTAGTTTTACGATAACAAAATGTACCTACAATACCTAATCTCTAACATGAATAGTTATTGCGAATACTTTATTTTAACGATCTATTTGAAATGCGACATGCAAGTTCCAAATTAAGTCGTAATTCTATGAATAACATCTTAACTGAAGTATATTGCCTACTTAAACTATGAAAACCACCGGTACTTCGAGCCGTTTTGGGATATTAAAGGCAATGCTTTTATTATTATCAGTCACTTACGTGCACATCAACTCAGCTCTTGCTAGCAATGGTGGGTAGACATTAAAGAAAATTTAGCCTTTTCCACAACGATAAGAATTTCCAATTTCTAGTCTCTCTTTGTTGTTTTGATGGGGAAATTCACGATAAAATGATTTTTATTTCAGTGCTGCTAGAGGTGTGTCTCTTGTAGAAACTTCATAATTCAGCAAGGGAAGTGAAAGTAGGATTAGAGATAATGTAAAAATAGGATACCTTTTTCTTAGTTCTTTTATTTAATTGGAGGACTGTGCTAGGAACCACGTCTACAAAGTTTAGGAAAACCCGCAAAAGTAGACACCCATTTCTAAGGGGGTTGTTTACTCTAATTGTATTATCTTTATGGCTTGTACTGTTTCATTTAAGGGTAGCATTTAAATGAGATTATACTAGTTTTGTCTACCTATGTGTTTTCCGCAGAGTCTGTGTCATCATCATACATAAGGTCGTCAGACTAGTTGGACACGCATCTCTACTCTTCCCTATCCTGAGCTAATTTTCGCATTTCCCTAAAACTAGAACAACCCATTCCCCTAATTTATTTGCGAACAGTAATCCAATCTAAGTCTACCTCTACCTCTTCTAACTTCCGTTTCTACCTCTTATGTTTCTGACTACACCTTCATGCCTGAGGTGTCCTACCAACCTATCTCGCCTATTTCTTATTGACTTCCACAGAGTCCACTTCATCTGTTCTTTCTCATACCTCTTCATTTATAATCTTCCCTATCCACAGTATCCTCATAATTTTCCGGTAACATCACATTTCGAACGCTTCTAACCTTTTCTTTTCCGCCGCGCCCAGTGTCCATGTTTCGCACCCGTACAGCGCCGTGCTCTAAACATACACCTTTAAAAATCTTTTTTGAATTTCTAAATTAACCGCTCGCGAGCATAGAAGTGACTTTTTTTTATTGAAGGCGATTCGACCTTGCGCTATCATCTGCCTTATATCCCTACTACTCCTTCCGCCCTGACTTTACAGACTTCCTAAATAGCTGAAATCGACCACTTCTTCTAATTTTTCGTTACCTATCTTTATATTCGTTCTTTCTCTACTTTTTCTTCCCTTGCACACCAGTATTTCTGTTTTACTGTTATTTATTTTCATACAGTACTGTTTTGTCAATAGCGCTTCCATTTTATTTGAAGCTATCTCTAACTTTTCCTTGCTAGATGCTAATACTGCTTTATCATCTGCAAATCCAAGCACACCAATCTTTTACATAGTCTGTGTATTTGTAGAAAATTATCAAGACTGACTTGAAATGACGTCATTTACCTTAATGTGCCTTCCGGAGAGAAGTTGTTGTACATAACTGAATGAATTGACGAAAAAGGGCGATAAAATTCAAAACAAAATATTTACGTACATTCGGCGAAGCGTTAAAAGGGATTCGGGTCCCGAATTATCAACGGCGATTTCTCTTTATTAAATCAACGATCTGTCACCTGCGATGGGTTAACTCTGGGGAGAGGAAGATATTAAAATGATTGAGTCAATTCTATTTCTCTTAATCTGCGTTGATGATACAAAGGTACAGTACAAGCAGTCCATGTCTCAACGGGAACCACGCTAAACCCTTTAATTCCCTACTGGAGTAGAGTGATGGATCATCATACTTACAAAAAGCCACAATTCGAACTTTCTAACCATGACAAATATTAACAACTGATTATATACAAGGTGTCCAGAAACAGTAGGGGATGTTTGTATCTGCGCTGTCCTTGTGACAGCGCTGTTCGGAGGGGTGCTCTGGGGATAGGTCGTTTCACTACTTTTTGGAGATTTAACATCCTTGGATGTGTACCCTAGAGGCCATCGTGATCCGACGATCATAGCTCAACTATTATACCGGGCAAAATTCAATGTACGGAATGAACCGAAGAACGATATCATCAGGAAATGGATTCAAATGTTCTGGAATACCGGTTCGACTGCAAGAATTCACAATCCAGGTCGCCCCCGCTCTGTTTTAACCCAACAACAATTGAAAGTATCAGTGCGTGAAAATCCGTCTCAATCAGCTCGCAAACGCAGTCAAGAACTTGACATTAAAAAATCGTCCTTACAGAATATTCTGAAGCAAGATTTACATCTAACAGCCTACAAAATTTAGTTAGTTCAAAAACCGAACGTTACCAATTATCCTCGTCGACTTAATTTTGTAAATGAAATGCTTCAACGCTTACCAACTTTGGTGAACTTTCACCTAAATGGCCACGTAAACAAACAGAACTGTCGCTACTGGGCCAAAGAAAATCCAAGACATAAACACGAACAATCACCACATAGTCCAAAAGTTATTGCGTGGACTGCCACGTCTGGTGAAGACATCATTGGACCTTCTTTTTTTTTTGAAGACCGGCGAGGACGAATACAAGTTTTATTTGCGTCAATTGTGTTTTTTATCCAAATTCCAAAAATATTGTAAAGGTGTATGTATGAAGTACAGCTCTGTGCGAGTGTTACAGGTGGATGATGAGGATACCGTGAATAGAGAAGGTTATGAGGGTATGGAAGTCAATAAGGAATAGACAAGATAGGTTGGTAGGCACCTTCTTAGGCATGAAGGCCTAGTTAGAGACATATTAGAAGCAGAAACAGGAGTTAAGGAGAGAAAAGGTAGATCTAAATTAAATTACTGTTCACAAATAGTTAAAGATGTCGAACGTGCTATTAGCTCAGGATAGGAAAGAGTGGATGAGGTACGTGTCCAACCAGTCACAGGATTGGCGATATTATAATGACGATGATGACGATTACTCTTCGTAGTTTGGTAGAGACTGTTTTTATTTTTTGTATTGTTTCCATTCTTTTTCATTTATTAATGTACACTGTGATGAATATAGCACTTGTGGAAGATTGGAACGAACATTTCTAACCCCATTTACTACTACAGGGTACAATGGAAAAAGGGTTAAGATTTTCCTAGAATTATTTTTGATTCATTAACACTCTTCGTTTTTGTTATCCTATCTTTTTCAGATATTCTACAAGGACCTTGGAAAAGCCCGGGTTTTCCACTTTCACTTTGATGTCTCTCTATCTTAGGCAAAGGAAACATGACAGAGCAGTTATACAAATTACATTCCTCTTTCATATGTACGTACTGAACAGTTTTTGTAATGACAAAAAAACCATTTCCATCTCACCTATCCGTTACTCGTTTAGCTCTATTAAATGAAGAGGAGTGATGGACCAGGCAATATTCATGAAATGAATCGTTTCGATCATTGTTTCTATTTACATCAGAATATGTGTTTGACCATAGAAATTTATGAATTTCAATTAATAGTTCATAAATTAATTTTGAGGACGAAATATGGAACGTTTATCATAAGCATTTCCAGTTACTCATGTCACTATACTTCGTTACAGTATAAACGATGTAACCCACAATTCTCTAGCGTAGCTTATGCGGGGACAACTGTCATTTAACAAAATTTATATGTAAAATAAATTGAATTACTATAAATGCACTTAGAATATCTCG